ATTGCCATGCCTATTGTCCCAGATAATGCTATTACTCACTCACCGCTGAGTCAATGGAAGAGGTTGGCTAGAAAATCTCATGACCTTATGATTGTAAACCAACAAAGTAATAATAATAATAACTACATAGATAATTATCACCCTACTCTCAAAAAGTCAGGTGTACAATACATTATGTTGCAAATAAAATCTAGGAGGACCTACCCGGCCATGGTACCAATCCTCACACACACAACACTGAATCATCTCATCTTCAACTGTGTCTTCAGGATCTGGGTAAGGTCTCTGGCAGGTGCAGTAGGACCCTCTGAAGTTATGGTTGTAGTGGTTCTCTGGATTTTCTGGCAGCTTGTCCTGTAATGAATATAAAAGATTCATTAACTTTAATACAAATGCCGTTCTTGGCAGGATATACCTCTGGATATATCTAACAAATTAATTCCTGTGCTCAAAATTTTTTACAAACCTTGAGAAGCTTGCAGGGATTTTGGGAGAACTTTGAGTTGCCACAATCACAGCGGAAGTGCCTAAGGGGAAGACCACATATTACAAAGTTAAGGAGGTTTTACTAATAATCGAACAAGGAAATGAAGCTTAAAAAGCAATTGTCGTAATAGTCATTCAATGCAGAAAAGATTATGTCCTCATAAAATACAAGAAAATCTTACAAATGCATGAACCACACCAATATTATTGGCATCAATGGATAGCTTTAATAATATGCACATGTTGATCTTGATCTGTTACCAACAAACTAGTCATATTTTCCATGTTATTCATAAAAGACAATAGCAAAATCATTATGGAAATGGAGTCAGTAATCACCATGATTATAATGCTTTGATGACCTAAATAATCAGTATCAATGATGAATGCATATACATAATTACTTATAATGCATTTTATATATTGTGGTTTCTTTTCTTTTCCATCCATTTCTCTTCATCTCATAATTTCCAATTTATTCCTTATGATCTACTTACCTATCTCACCATAACTATTGATAATGGATGACAAGTAGGCTTTAGGTCTGAAACTTTGGCCCATTGATTATTGAAATATTGAACTGTTTCCTAAGTTTCATTGCTACTATTGAAATGTAACTTCTTCATTCCAAGGTGGCTTGTGGACTTCTTTATAACTCTTGACAATATACCATTATACTCATTGCTAATGTATGCTGTGTATTGTCAAATATGAATAACAAGTCCTTGTAGTCAAGTGTAACAAACACACATTGCAGGCACCAGAACAATGTTTATGTCAGCATCCATCCATGTAATCACAGCAAGACTAAAGTCATAAAGATGTTGCATTTATACACAAATTAGTAATCTATGATAAAGTAAGTTCACTGGTAGAACAACTACAAATGAAAAATTACATCAATAAAAAGCTAACTAATAAAAGGTATGCGTGAGGAGAATGTCTCTGATTCTCTGAACCAGTTAATGGACCAAGTGTGGTTAAACCAATAATGATGACTAAATACAAGAGTTCCTTATGTTACCTGCATTTGATCAAACTTTTTTTATACTGTCAGGTATTGCTTAATATCTCTAGCATGTTCTGAGATTTGGATACGGTGTAAACAGCATATCATAAACATGGAAAAGCTATAAGGGATACTGATACTGTTGTGTACATGTTTCCTAAATTGTAAACTATGGCATTCACTAATTTTGCACCTCATAACCTTTCCTTAACTTCCAATTCATTCTCCTCCTTTACCTATTGTTGTTGCTAAAATTAGCACTGTTTTTTTGTAAAAATTAGCACTGTTTTTTTGAAGACTTCCAGGTAATGCTTTTGAAAGAAAATTGCAGAGATAATGCTATAGCACTGAAGACACATGATATTTGTAACTGGGGATAGTAAAATACACCCAGTTCAAATGTAATTATATCAAATCAAACAACATAAATTTACTGACCTCTTGGTGTAAAGTTCAACGAGTTCATGGTCCTCATGACAGTGGTAGCTGCAAGCCAGACATACTCCTGCCAAAAGCTCACTGTCTGCTGGGCAACATGTCATACAGGCATACAGAGCCTGACGTTTCATGTTACCCTACGTAGAAAGAGGGTAAAGTTGTCATTGCTTTCTCAATACATCAAATGTCTCAATTCAAATTTACATATTATATATACACAACAAGTAACAATTTCTCTCCTTTGATTACAAAGTAACTTAAAAATATATACTATAAGCCTATTCTAAATGCTTATGATGCAGACTTTGTAGTTCTATTAGAACCAGAAGTTATGTCAAGTGCACTCTGGACTCTTGAGTCGACCTACTTGCAAAGTTTCCTTTTTATTCTAATCATCTGACACTTAATGCTTGATTTTACATATACTTGATATTCTTAAAATCACTGAAAACATATTAATTTCTTTACACCAGGTTATCAATTTTTATCACAAGAGACCTGCTGACCTGGAATACTCTGGTGTTCTAGGCGAGTTGCTTGATTTCCCTTTCCTGATTAGATGGAGTACAGTTGTATTCACCCACAATTTCCAAGCGCAAACTTTGTGTCATTAATACAATTGAATCATTTCTATGGACCTTCGGAGAGTATCAAATAACCAAATAACCCAACTCTTAAAAATGCCTACAGAGAGCAAAGGTTGTATATATCTGCATAAGAAAATTTAATGCACTAATAAAATGACAGAAAAAACACACTAAGGTTTGTTAAAAGACAAAATATTAGCTTTGAAATCTTGTTTTCTTCATCTCCTGGGCTCTTATGCCACTGTTGTCAGCTCTCATGCTTATCCAACCCCTATCAATATATACTAGCAACAACTTCAATCAATGTTCTTTCACAAATTGGTATCACAACGATATTATGTGTAATACAAGACCGTAAAAGAAGTTGGTTTTAGAGCCCTTCCCACCTTGGCCCCTTGAGGAACAGGTGTCTTGCATGCAACGTCTCCTCAACTTTCATTAGCCTAGTCTGGTATCTCTTCTTATAACTGTACAGTAAATCAAAAGGAATGGCATAGGTTTTGTTTCTGGATATTGTTGCCGTGCCTGGGTCGGTTCTTTATTCCCACAGCATTCGGAGGTTTTGCTTTTGAGAACCAGATGGGGAGGTTCTGAAGGAGGTTCCTGGGGGTTCAAACCTCCTGACATAGCATATGTTTCCTGGCATCATCTTAGCACAAGTTGTCAATTCTAATCTGCCAAGCTTCTATGTTTTTTGACCCCGTAATTTGCCCGGCACACTCCATGCCATCTACTGACGTTGCTGGAGGAGGAGGCCCAGCATCAGAATCCTGTGGGAGGAGAGGACGAGGAGAGGACGAGCCGAGGACGAGCCGAGGGCGACTCACCTGGCCCTCCTCCTTCAGCACCAGCGCCGAGGACCTTTCAGCAAAATCCCCTCCGCCCTCCCGCTCCCAAACGACAGCCCCGCCGCCCACCCCTGAGCCAAGCAAAAGCAAGAAGAGGCTTCCCTTGGCCTGAACCCACCTGGTCGTAGGTACAGCTGGTGTCGTCGGAGGCGCCCAGAACGGCCGCCGCGTCCAGTTCTCTCTCTTGTTCCTCCTCTAATACTTCTACCATGGAGATGCCCGACTCCTCCTCCTCTTCCCCGGGTGTCAGTGCGCCGCTCCCTTCGCCCTCGGCCATCGTGGAGGACGAAAAGGAAGGGAAATGAGGGAGAAAAGGCGATGGGTGCTGCTCGCTGCGGGAAGGCGTGTGTGTTGGGTCGCCCCGTTTTCCTTCTCTCGGCGCGGTTGTTTCTCCTTATTTATCTGGACTTTTTTTTCCTTTTATCTCGTCTTCCTCTTGTTTATCTGAACGTCTCCTTGTCTAAATGGTGGCGGTTAGTCTCCTTTATCTCGCCTTCTTCTTATTCATCGAGACTTCATCTTATATTTATCTCGAGGCGGTTAATTTTTTCCTCGAATTTCGGTTTTATCTTATTTTCGGGCATCCTTAAGAGTCAACGGACCTCAATTCCCATGCATTTGGGAAAGCGAAAAAACTACCATAGCAAGCAGAATTGTTTTTTTAGATCAAAATCATCAAGGAATTTGTGGAAATTTCTAAGACTTTTATCCGCGGCGCTTTGTTAAGGATCTGCGCGCCAGGTTGAAGGGGAGGCTGTCACGTCCGTGTGATTTGTGGTTGGGAAAATATATCTGATTTGGGTATTGATGGGTATTGATTCTTGGTCTTGATTATTGGTTTTGATTATTGGTATGGTTGTAGGTATGCTTGGAGTGATGGAAGCGCTAAGGCAGGGGCGGGGGAGGAATAACAAGGATATGCCCGTAGTATATTTTCCTGTGCATTATTAAAGACTAGGTTAAATAAAGTATGTGAACTCCAGTATAATCATTTTTACATGTCCCGAAAGACAAGTTAAAGCCAAGAAACCTAAAAACAAACAAACAAACAAGCCCATTAACCCAAGTAGCAAGAAGCGCTGACTCAGCACTAAAAAGCTCGGTTGCTGGACGGCGTAGAGGAGTGAGCGGTCTTCCTATAAATCGCGTCGAAGTGTCTCATACTCGCTGACCTATATGGCACACTATATCCAACTATACGGGCAGAAAAAAAATAGGTTTCCTTAATTTCCAATTTGACTAGATTAATAGCAGAGACCGTGAGCTTATCAAATTAGCAGGAAACGCTAACTCAAAGGCGGGTAACTGGGTGGCGGGAGCGGGGCATCCGAGAGGGTATACCAGTGATAAAGCGCGCCTACAAATAATTCAACCCTGTGCAAAAAGACAATGAGACAAATACAGCAACCCGACCAAAATAGCAAGCAGCGCTAAGCGAGTCGGGAAACTGCCGACGGCGAGGCCGGCATAGCCCTGTAGACACACAAGTGGCCAAATGCCCTGCAAAGGCATTCAAACTCAGAGTCCAGTCCTGGAGGAGCCGCAGCCCGCCCGCCGAGCGCGTTCAGCTAGGCGAGAGCATTCCGCTAGGCGAGCGCGTTCCGCTAGGCGAGCGGACAGCGCTCGGCGGCGGCGCGGCGTAGCGGCCCGAGCGCCGCAGTCGTCGCCGGCGTCTCCTGGACTCGATACTACGCCGCCGAGCCCTCCTTTTCCTGACTGAAATCCTCTCCGCGCTCGAGGCTCCGCTGGTAACCATGGGTTGCGATGACGAAGTGCTCAAGATCAAGAAGAAGCTCGACAAGATGACCACGAGCGGCAGTGTGAGTGACCGGAGGGAGCGTTTGGGTGTCAGAAATAGATGTTTTGTGTCACTTGTGGAGCTGCAAGGGACGCCGCGGCCCTCCTCGCTCGCCGCCCTCCTGCCGCCCTTCCCGCGCCCTCCTGGCCCTCGCTGGCCCCGCAGCCGCGTCCTGCCGGGGAACTGGCGCTGTGGCAGGGGGGTGGGGGAGCAGGGCTTTATTTGTGTGCCAGGCAAGGGGCTGAGGAGCGCGAGGCAGGGCTCTGGGCACTCGTGATTGGCGATGGTGGTTGGGACAAGGAAATGCCCTTTGGAGCGGCTGGGCAGTGCCTTGGAGAGAGATGTTGGTGAATTCTTTTGAAATAAGATGCAAATAAAGAAATGAAAAAATACATTTTTTAATGTAATAGTATTTGTGTGGAGGCAAAAAAGCCCCAAATGATAGTATTGATGATTAATTTTGAATTTTGGACAGCAGTCATATAAATCATATCAAAAAGGTGTTTCAAAGCAAGTTTGGGTTACAACTATGAGGACATATTGTACAAACAACTGTCATTATCCAGCAAATGATATCAATATTTGTAAATATTCAGACTAGGATAATGGTGAAAATAATTCTGCAATTTTGTGCATGTGTGACCAAGGTTATGTGATCGCAGAGAAAAACAAACCTCCACCATGAATATTCTTCCAGGATATTATTTGCTGACCTTGACAGGCAAATGAACAATCGGCCTGAGCCATATCTTGCCAAATATATGTTCAGTAGGTTTGTTGTCCCTTGAAGGAGTGTGAAGCACGGAGGATGTGGCGGCAGGTCGCGCAGGCCTATACTTTCCTTTTTGGTTATGTTCTATAACAGGTCTGCATTTTAGAATGGTCTAATTTGCTACTAATGAGTTTCTTTTAACTTTCTGGCAATTATTATTGCTATAATTGGTTAGTAGAGAATCCATGTTTTTTGGACAAAAATGCATAAGTACTGCATAAATTAACCCTGAAATTTCACAGGGAACATTAAACCCTCCCCACAGAATGGAACTAGTGTCACTTATTGTTCTTTAGCATTGGCTAAAGCCCATTCAGGTCAAACAATTTGTAAGTACAACAATGTGGAACCTGTACTCCCCTTCGTTGTTCTATTTGCTTCTGTGCTTTGTGCTTCGGCAGAGGCCAACAAACATCCCCATGTGTATTAGGCAAGATAGAGCTTAGGGTGGTACCTTGTTTCCTGTTAAATCACCAAGGAGGCTAATATGCTTTATCTTGCCAAGATATACAATACCTGGTAGGGTTTGTTTGACTTTCAGAGCATACCAAAACATCACTGATCCACATTCCCCTCAGTATAAAAGGTGTAGGATAGTACCTGATTGTAGTTATAATTGGAGACCAAAGATTTGCTTACTCCTACACAAGTTTCGCATTCATCACCAATATAATCATTAACACTATCACAATTAATATCATGTGCCTTATTACCTTGTCACATTATGCTTGAAAAGGTATTAAAATAAGGTATTTAGAGCACAATTCATCATTCATGAATTTTTCATTGTGTTCTCCCATGCCTTGAGATTGAGGGATGCTCACTTCTACTTGTAAAAAAAAAAAAAAATCCAATTTCAGATTTAATATCTATATTGATTCTGATGTTTCAAAAGTTCTTGTATTCCTCAGTATCACTGACTTGTTCTTCGTTTGACTTCTATCACAATCCTCATCCTGTCACCTCACAAGGTGCTAGGCTGTAGAGAGTGGTGACCTTGCATGATGCTGACTACTTGGCCATTGTAATATACATAGGTCTAATTGCTTTTGTCATGGTGTAAAAATGTGAGGAACATGCATTGACACCATGTAGTCCCATCATAGGCTGGTAGAATAGGAATGCATATTTTAATATCTACCTTTACACCTTTACAGGAATGCACAATGATGGCAACTTGGCACTTCATACTGTTGTTGTAAATCCACTCTTAGTTGTATAGGTAGAACTGTAGTAGGGTATGTTTTCTTTTATTAGAATATATTGACTTGTTAGTACCAGATTTCAATAGCCGATATTGGCTTGCTAGTACTAGATTCATATCTGTACTTTACCATAGAGAACTGTCCAAGCTCTAATTTTTGTCATACCTTATATATTTAAAAAATATATGCTTGAGAGTCGAAGGTTCAGGAGTGATGGCACCAAACTGCTGCAGATCAGAGTGAATTTGTATAATGTAATTTTTTTTTATAAACAATCCAAGGAGAATATGTAATAATTTAATTAATTTAGAACTTTTTTCTGATAGCTACAAAGTTGTTTTTGCTAAGATTCATTCCTTTTCTGACTATTTTCACCAAGATTGACAAACATGACAGAGAATTTATATAATTTATGTTTTATTTAGAATAACACAAGGAAAATCTACCAATTTTGATAGTTTGGACATGACTTGAGCTTCTTATGCCCCTTTGAGCTATTTTGCATGTATACAAATCATATAGAGTGTATACATATATATTTATACTTATATATTCCCATTCTCTTTTCCTTTTGTACCTGTTGTCTTGTAGGTTATACATACAACTTTCATAGAGTGATTACCAGAATGCATATATGTGTTTAGACTACATATAGGAAGTTAAGGTATATATATGGAATGTGCTGCCATGTTGCTGTGCATGGTAATTCCAGTACTTGACAGCTTTATTTTCCCTTAATTCAGTGTAACAGGAAATATATATGTAATTATATTTAATTACCATTTTTTTCAGTACCTAATTCCAACAAGTTAATTTGTATATCTATAAATTGTAAAGATCTTGGTAAAGTAAATTGTCACCACAGATGTAATAGTCAGTGCAGAGAGAGAGACATTGTGGTATATAGTTTTGTGTTTTATATGTTGAAAGTTGTCAGAGGTGCAAAATACCAATCTAAACTGTTTTCAAGGTTAAAACTTATCACCCTGATGATCATTCAAGTCATGTTTAATGTATTTGAAGACGGAAATCAAGACATTATTATACTTTTTTGTAATATTAAATTTAAAGCATTATAGGTAATGGTATTGATAGAAGAGCATAGTTTTGACATAATCTAAGTGATATCACAGGGTAGCAGTTAAAATGAAACCTAGCGAATTATGCTTGTTAGCAATTATACCATTATTAAATCAGTTAAGACAGATACATGCAAATCATGCTTGTGAGTACTCAAAACAACTCCTTGGTAATGATCAGTATATATATCATCTCAGATCCGATATTGTCACCACACAGAAAGATGAGGAAAATATGGAGATAACACTTTCCATTGAAAAAGTCATGATTAAGGGACTAAGGGGATTATCATTTAAATTAGTTTTATCATATAATTCTTATCTACAAACTTTTTCTACATGACTAGAGTAAACCCCCTCCAGTTTGACATTGATGTATTTGCAGATATATTGGTTAGAAGGAAAATACCAGTAATGATTAAGTTAAACTATATAAAAGATAAATCAAATATTCTGAATATAGAGCATCTTACTTGTACTGATGTAGTATGATTATGACTTGGAATTATATTAGTTATGGAGTAGGAGTCATTTCCCTTCATTTGCTTCTTCATTGGTATTCCAGATATTTTTTTCTTTGATTGATACATTCAGTATAATGTAGATAAAGTTTTAACTCAGTGCTGATGGGCATGGCATGCATGTACATGCCATACCCACTGTGAGTTTACTTTACTAATTGTTTTTACATATAGATGGCTACATTTGTCTCCAGTTAGCCAATTACGTGTGCTGCCTGTCTGGCCAGTTTACACTTTTTGATTTAAGAATATTTTACGTTATCTCATTTTACTCTTACTAATGTTTATAACATTATAGTAATTATAATGTCTGTAATAAAAATAACACCATCGATATTCATAGCATTAGTAAAAAATACATTTTTCCTGCCAATTCAAGGAAAGATGAAATTAGGTAAGGTCACAAGGTCTCTTAAGTGACTCCTTTGTGGCTAAGCACTGGTAGAGCCATCTATGTGCAGAGACATTTCACAAAAAAAAATTTAAAAATAAGCGAAGCATTTTCCCCGGCGGCATGTAGTTAGAGTAAATGTTTCTCAACCAACATCTTATAATATACAGTATATTTTTTTCTGTCAATAATCATTACTCTTATTGAATTGGAAATGACAGAAATAGAAATTTTCATTTTATATTTTTTTCTTTACTCTTATTGCAGGACCAGACACAGGCACTGGATTTGTTGAAAGTGTTGCAGACCCTTCCAATCAACTTCCAGGTGAGATGTGGCATTTTATTAATGTCGTTTTATTTACATACGTCATTGTTAGTTTTTAGTGTATGGTTATATGTATCAACTTTCTCATAAGGAGTTTTGATTAGTAGGTTTTTATGTAAGCATATATTTTGTAAATAATTTTTAGGTTGGGGATGTCTAATCATGGCTTCTTATTCCAGGTGTGTTCAATATAGAAATTTTTATAGGTTAAATTAAACTCTCAGATAGCCGGTAGCATATGTCCTTAGAAGGATGGGCAGGGCTCAGGTAGGTGGAATTTTTCCTGTCTTAGAGGGTCGCTTGGCTTCCATTTAGGGGCTAAGGAATTAGGTTTCCGATGCATTATGAAAGAAATGGTTTCCTTTTTACTAAGGTAATTGCAGATATTAATGTCAAGAAATGTGACTTTAATCTTTTGGATATGATAATGCCCATGTGGTATTTTACATCAGGTAGTTCTTTGCAATTGCCTGGTGTGATTACAGTTCATCTTCCTCTTCATCTCACTCACTCTTATTCATTTCTGTGTTGTGTACCTGTTCCATCCATCTTATGCAGAAATTTCATGATATAAGCCAAGAAGACTAGTATCCTGCTAGAATCCTGAAAGTGATAGTATAAAGCACTAATCATCATTTGTGGTTTGCACTCTTAATCATAAAGTATCCTGTAATAATTACACGAAAAGTGTTTGGTTTTCAATTTTACTAGGTAATGCATACAAGAGAATTATAGAGCATTAGTCGAACTATACAGAATAGAAAAGCATGCAGATAAGATAAATGAAATGTGGTTAGACTATCTGCCTTTTATTGTTGCCAAGTTCGGAGACTTACCAAAGATTTTCTTCCTCTAGCCAATTGCTGCCAGGTACATGCACTGTCGACTCAAGTTTTTTGTCAATTTTACATACACTTGTGTGGCTTCACAAGCTTTTACTCAACAAGGAGCCAATTACTAGGCATACCTGACCTTACATGTTTACCTCATTCATTGAATTTTTTTGAAAAAGTTTTTATTTTTGATTCTGTTATGATTAAAATGTTATTAACAGTGAAAATAAAAGTTAATTTCCTAAAATTCTAGGAACACATACAATCAGGCTGGCCTAATGAGTGACTAATTGGTGATCAAAAAGTTCTTGAGCCATCTATGTATAAATAAAGGATAAAAGAAAATAACTGGTAAGACATATATGCACTCCCTGCATCAGTGGGTAAATGATCAAGTGTGTGTGAGCTGATGCTTATTGCAGTTTGGAACACTAAAAATTCTAAAGTTTAACACAAAGCATTGTAGATTTGTTTTTTCTGTCATTGAATCTAATATGATACTGCCATTTCATCCCAGCTAGGTAGAAATATGTAAATACATCTTCTAGGATGTACCATTATGATGATTATATTGACCTGCAGTTTTACAGTTAGTCAGGATAGTATATATAGAATTAGAATACACTAAAGGTGTTAGCCCTAATTCTTTCAATACCTGAAAGTACCACATCAATATTTTAGACTGAAAAAGAAGCCTTTGTCAGTGAAAGATATAAAAAATGCAATGTTTGTATACCCATAGTCTGCAACAAAGACAGTCAAGTTGACATTTTTTTGTTACTGTAGGACAAGAATTTACTTATGATTTTATAATATTGATATCTGTATTTTGTGTCTGTTGATCTGTGACTCAAAATTGATTACCCTTGCATTTTGTTGTAGGTACTATCTAAAACTCGCATTGGAATGACCGTCAACGCCCTACGAAGAGCGTCCTCAGATGATGATGTAATTTCAACAGCGAAACAGCTCATCAAGAACTGGAAAAAATTTGTTCCTGGTGAGTCTTTGATGGTAAGGGTTGTTAAATGTTGATTTTGTTCGGAAGGTAATGAGGATTATCTTTGTACTGTGTTTGCCAGCAACTTCCCTAGTGTATGTAAGCATTTGCCTTCAATGTGAAATTCATAAGGTTTAGCTATTTTTGGGGGTATAATATAAGCACAAATGTCTTGAATTTTGTAAAGAAGGCTTTGCTTTTTTAGTTAGCTGGGTTAGTTTACTTATTTAATTTCGTTAACTTTATATACTGTCATGAACATAATCAGCAGACCTAGTCATTCTTACATATGCAAAATGTCTCAGCATTGTTGAGAAAATATTTTTGATAGAAGATGACTTCCAACAATTTTGGTTCAGCGACACACACGAGTAGGGCTTTTAAGACTATGGCTGTTGAAAGTGTAGGAGAGAAAGAAGAGGAAGTTTCCCTTAAGAGATAAAGAATTAGCCATTGTAAAATTTGGTTTGAGTTATGTTGGTGCTTGGTCGTAGCTAGAGTGACACTGTTATTTTCAATGGCTCCGTGGAGGCTTGAGCACCTGTTGAGCTATCTGTGGGTAAATGATATTCACAAAAGAAGATTACAGTCAACAGTGCATGTACCTTGTAGCAATGGGTTAAAATGTCAGTTGTTGGACAAGCTCTTGTTAGTGGAAGGGATATTGATGGGATCACATATATACATGCATTATTGTCTGGTATTACTGTATTTTTTATTATTACTATTGTTATTATTATTGTTATTTTAATTCTTTATTTCTATTTTTATTTTATTCTTTATTTTCATTTTCATGTTTATTTTATTTATTTCTTATTTTTATTTTTATTATTTTATTTCTATTTTTATTGTTATTTTATTTCTATTTTTATTGTTATTTTATTTCTGTTTTCATTTTCATTTTATACATAGATACCCCGACAAGCACTTACCAAGGAGTATGTATACCCCATTTTATTATTATTATTATTATTTTTATATTTAAAAAAAAGTTTATTACTATTATTATCGTTATTAACATTGTTATTGTTACATTAATGATATTAAGGATAACCAAAATAATAATGATAATAGAAATGAACTTTTTTGCCCCTAAACAGTCAATAAATGGACAAATAGATTTTCTTTTTTGTGACTAAGTGCTTAAGCCCAGGTTCAACTACCCAGACTCGGGTCTGATCTCTGAACTACCTCCTTTCGCAGTATTGGCTAAATTAGAATTAATGTTATAACCACATAATACTGTTTAAACTTTAAGCACAAACATAAAATATAGATCCATATTGCCAGATATAAGATAACAGGATTTGGGCTCACCTAGTTTTGCCAAAAAATATAATCCCTTGCTTGTAGTCAGATTCCAGATTTGGATAATTCTATATTTAGCTATTGTTTAAGATGTGAATTGTATTTCCTATTTTTAAGACATTGATCTTTTATGGTGTACTAAGCCTAAATACACCCTGTTAGTATTCAGAAGTATTGATGACTAGAGATACACTTTTTCCATTTCAGACAAGAAGGAGGATGAAGACAAAGATAATAAAGAAGAGAAGAAGAAGGACAAGGAGGAGAAAAAGGAGAGTAAGAGTGGCAGCAACAGTAACAGCAACAGCAGTAGCAGCGGGAGTGGGAGTTCCAAGCCTACCTCGTTTCCTCCTTCAGCTCCACCTACCACTGACGCCCTGCGGCTGAAGTGCCGAGAGATGTTAACAAATGCTCTGAAGTGTTCAGGTTAGTTCCCCCCCTCAGTGTTTTCTTAAGGATGGGGTGTTACTTGTGCTTTGTGTTTTATTGTTTTTTTATTTTATTGTCCTTTTCATTATTTCTTGTGCAGGTTGAATATTATTATTATTTTTATGGTAAGCCGTATAAAGAGCCGTTATTGAAAAAATTGAGAATTGTAACACCAAAGGTATTCGTGCAGGTCAAAACTGCTAAGAAAGAAAGAGAAAATAGAAAATTGTCTGTAATTTATGGAGTAAAGAATTGTGTTATGAATTGAGCTTCATAGATCTTTTTGTAACTCCTGCAGGTTGATAAAAATCAGGTAAAAACTTAAGGGATGTGAATTATCAGTTGCTTGTATAAGACTGAAAGAACCACAATATTCCTACGATTTCCAATAGCCTGATTTCAGTCAGACAGGAAATTTCATGGAATTAAAAGAACAATCATGCTGTCTTCAGTGTGACTCTGCAGCAGATAATCAGAGAGGAGAACAATGCTCAAAAGAGGCAGAATGAAACAAATGAAGCATCTGTGAGTCCTCTTCATGAATTTTATTGCACTTGCAAATGATGCTTAACTTACATGATGAATTAGATTTTAATTTTCTTTCTTTGTTGTCACACAAATAGAAAGTTCTCCTGAGGAAATGCCTTGAAATTATTTGATTGTGGTTAGAATATGATTTGTAAGTTCATAATAAGCAATCATTCATGCAAAGTAATAGATATTTCATATCTTTTTTTAACAAGGTTTTGGACAAGTTAAAACTGGTTGTGAATAATACTGAAAATTGTAGAAATCTTGATACATTTTATAAACTTTGTCTATTTAATTATGCAAAAAAGGGTTGTTCATATACATCTGTCATTGTATGTATGGCAAGGATGGGCGACTTAGGGTTTTTCTTGTATAGTGGGATATATCTTCACACCTCCTAGGTGTTGGTTCCTTTTATTTCTTTTTCTTCTTCTCTTTCTCCACTTCCTCCTCCTCCTGTTGTGATATACCAAAAAAATTGATCTCTTTTGATATTTAAAAAAATATTAAAGCAATGAGAAAGGTAGATAAATCTCACTTTTTTATACTCAAAGTTGTTATAAATGGCCTATTGTTATTTCCCCCTCAATGAGATAATGTGACAATGACTACTGTAGGCTGTCTTTGATCTAAGGTGTTTGCAGGGCAGACCCATAGAGCCAGGAGTCAGTCAGTAGGCCCTATGAGATTCACCTGATTTCCCCATTCCTTCACCTTCTTGCGAAAATGTTTTTTGCTAATGGTAGTAATATTGATACTGTTATTATTTATGTTGTGATTATTGTAATGTAATTGAAAAACTAAATTGCAGTAAAACAAAAAGAGAATGAATGGCAAAACAGTCTTGATTTTGCAGTAGAAAAATCCACTATACACAAACTTAATTGTACATAGTGTGTTTAAGGTATCGCTTTAAGGATACAAGTAGTGTGGAGAATGTCTTTGCCCTAGTAGTTTTAATCTCTTAGACTGTGATACTTCATGCTAGTTAAGTGGATTGTTACTCAACACCTAGGTGCATCCAACTCGGTTCTTGTTGTTGTTGTTGTTCTTGTTCTTATTCTTGTTGTTCTTGTTCTTGTTCTTGTTCTTGTTCTTCTTCCTCCTCCTCCTCTTCTTCCTCTTCTTCCTCTTCTTTCTTGTTCTTGTTCTTGTTCTTGTTCTTGTTCTTGTTCTTGTTCTTGTTCTTGTTCTTGTTCTTGTTCTTGTTCTTGTTCTTGTTCTTGTTCTTGTTCTTGTTCTTGTTCTTGTTCTTGTTCTTGTTCTTGTTCTTGTTCTTGTTCTTGTTCTTGTTCTTGTTCTTGTTCTTGTTCTTGTTCTTGTTCTTATTCTTGTTCTTGTTCTTGTTCTTGTTCTTGTTCTTGTTCTTGTTCTTGTTCTTGTTCTTGTTCTTGTTCTTGTTCTTGTTCTTGTTCTTGTTCTTGTTCTTGTTCTTGTTCTTGTTCTTGTTCTTGTTCTTGTTCTTATTCTTGTTCTTGTTCTTGTTCTTGTTCTTGTTCTTGTTCTTGTTCTTGTTCTTGTTCTTGTTCTTGTTCTTGTTCTTGTTCTTGTTCTTGTTCTTGTTCTTGTTCTTGTTCTTGTTCTTGTTGTTGTTGTCTTGTTCTTGTTCCTGTTCTTGTTTTTGTTGTTCTTGTTCTTGTCTTGTTCTTGTTCTTGTTCTTGTTCTTGTTCTTGTTCTTGTTCTTGTTCTTGTTGTTGTTGTTGTTTTTGTTGTTGTTCTTGTTCTTGTTCTTGTTGTTCTTCCTCCTCCTCCTCTTCCTCCTCCTCCTCCTCTTCTTCTTCTTCTTCTTCTTCTTCTTCTTCTTCTTCTTCTTCTTCTTCTTCTTCTTCTTCTTCTTCTTCTTCTTCCTCCTCCTCCTCTTCCTCCTCCTCCTCCTCGATAAAAAGGGGTTTTGGAAACGTATCTTTGAACTTTTGCAGAAATATAGCAAACAAAGGAACAATTTATTTAAGGGACAAAAGTAATGAACCTCAAATTACTGAGAATGGCAGGAGAAGGAAGTAATGGTAGACACGCTTACCTGGAATGGGGAGGAAGTAGGAAGGGAAGGGGGTCAGTTGTGCAAGGAAGATTGCACTGTTGATTGATGACTTGTGAAAAAGTGTGCCGTATGTAGTGGGTTTTCACTTCTATTGTTATAATGGAATTGATATCTGAAAGTGTTTTGCAAATTTGTTCAGAAATATGATTTGTAAGTTCATAATAAGCAATCATTCATGCAAAGTAATAGATATTTCATATTTTTTTTTAACAAGGTTTTGGACAAGTTAAAACTGGTTGTGAATGATACTGAAAATTGTAGAAATCTTGATACATTTTTTTATAAACTTTGTCTATTTAATTATGCAAAAAGGGGTTGTTCATATACATCTGTCATTGTATATATGGCAAGGATGGGCGACTTAGGGTCTTTCTTGTATAGTGGGATATATCTTCACACCACCTAGGTGTTGGTTCCTTTTATTTCTTTTTCTCCTCCTCCTCCTCCTCCTCCTCCTCCTCCTCCTCGATAAAAAGGGGTTTTGGAAACGTAGCTTTGAACTTTTGCAGAAATATAGCTAACAAAGGAACAATTTATTTAAGGGACAAAAGTAATGAACATCAAATTACTGAGAATGGCAGGAGAAGGAAGTAATGGTAGACATGCTTACCTGGAATGGGGAGGAAGTAGGAAGGGAAGGGGGTCAGTTGTGCAAGGAAGATTGCACTGTTGATTGATGACTTGTGAAAAAGTGTGCAGTATATAGTGGGTTTTCACTTCTATTGTTATAATGGAATTGATATCTGAAAGTGTTTTGCAAATTTGTTCAGAAATATGATTTTCGTTAGATATGGAATGTGTAAAACAAAAATTCGCATCAGGCTAAGTAGTGCTCTCAGTTCCTAATTTAGCATTTTTCTTTAATTTAATGTAGAATTCATCACACTTGTTTGTAAAATCAAGTATTATACATGTGTTTGATAACATGAATGTCATATTCATTAACCCCTTGATATGGATGCTTCACTGCTGCCCACACAAGGCTCAATTTACAAGCATTAGGCATACTTTGAGCAGCCATTCTGACAAATGTGTGGCTTGTAGGCTGTGACATCTCCCCTTGCAGTGTTATTTTTTTGTTTCTGCATAAGGGCTTTTAGCTTTTTTGCCATTTTCCAATGTCTGTATTTGTCGTTTGATTTATCAATATCAACATTATCAATATCAACATTATCAATATCAACATTATCAATATCAACATTATCAATATCAACATTATCAATATCAACATTATCAATATCAACATTATCAATATCAACATTATCAATATCAACATTATCAATATCAACATTATCAATATCAACATTATCAATATCAACATTATCAATATCAACATTATCAATATCAACATTATCAATATCAACATTATCAATATCAACATTATCAATATCAACATTATCAATATCAACATTATCAATATCAACATTATCAATATCAACATTATCAATATCAACATTATCAATATCAACATTATCAATATCAAC